GTGCTGGCGGCAATATTTAGTAGCAACGATAACGCGCATAAGAAGCGAAAACGTGATTAATAAGTTGTTGAACATAATTATTTATATACATTTGTATATAGTATGTTAAGTGCTGTTATTTCAAAGGCTATTTTTAGGAGGAAGCGTAACTATGATGATGACTGAAGAGTAGTTTGCTCTCTTCGAAGGTATACCGATAGTATAAATAATGCGTACGGAAAATTTCATTTGCTGATAACGCTCTTATATGTAACATACAATAGATATAACAAATAATAAATTCGTGCAAGTATTTAGACAAAAGTATCAAAAACATTTTTTTGTAATAAATATGCTTCACAATTTATTTGTAGACAGCAAAAGGTATTTCTATATAATCTTTTTGAATTTATCGATGGTTGAAACAGATTAGATATGTGTAGAACTAATTGTTTGGGTGATACGCAGTATAAAGTAACTTTATTGCTCAGATAAGTTTTGGGAATAAGTAAGACTGTGAGTATTCAAAGCTCTTCAGTTTTATACTGTATTTATTTAGGGTTTTTAATCTATCTATCAAACAAATCTCAATCATCGCGATTATTTGGTTGAATTCATCCAGGCATTACACCAACCAAATCTCGAAAATATGGAAATTAGTTTTAGGGGTCACGCTTTTTCTTTGCAAACTAACAATGTTACTAGTACTTAACGCTAAAAAGTTTAGACTTGAAATATGCCATTAAGTTTTTATTGCGCTCGGTACATCAGGAATATAATTCAGATGTTCGCTATATTTTATGTGGACGTTGGTTTTAGTACGATAACAATAAATAAAGGTATAACGATACCCATTATGTGACACTGAAATTAATTTGATAATGAAACCGTTATTATTACCTCATGTTATCTCCAGCCTTCGAAAACCGCATCGTCATGCCATTTACCTTATTTAAAATTATTCCAGTTTCATTCAATTGTTTGCTAGATATTTATATTCGTGATCAAACACTTTTAAACTTGATAACTCAAGTGTTTGATTATAATCAGTTAATTTTTTCACTTTTATTTATACTTGTAATGGTTTAAATTCATGTGCTCTTAGTTAGACGTGCCATATGGTGTTATGTTGTTCGTCGTTAATTAGCGATTGAGAATTTGGTTTTATTTATTTGTTTTTGCTTACTCTACAGCATCAATAAATTTAATTTTGATAATACTTAGTCTATATCAACATCTGATACAATCTGCCTGAAAAGAGCTAAATATAAATTACTATAATTTTTACTTAATAAAATTTTACTCGTCAACAAAACCATTTATTTGTTGTGTGTGAGGTACAAGGGGTTTACATTTGTATTCGTAGATCGTGTATTTGCATGGAAATTTACTAAACTCAGAGCGACTGAATCGAAAAGTCGCTCTAATGTCATTATTATTATGAAATACAATTGATTCACATAGGATTTGAGCAGAAACTAGTTGTGAGAGCGAGTTTGAGCGTTGGTTAGAATGAAAATGTCGTTCCTAAACATGATTTGCAAAAATCACAATTTAGTTTTAGTCGTTTTGCATTTGATGGCGATATTCCATTCTTCAGTTATATAATTCACGATAAATTTTTAGAAGCGCCACGAAAATGAAAAGTTTTTCACCATTAAACATATTATTTTTATTGTGTGTACAATTGTGCTACTTTGAAAGATTATATGCTGTAAAGATTTTAGCAATATTCCCCTTTCAGGGGCGTTCACAATATATTTGCGTGGAAAATTATCTAAAAGCATTGGCTGCAAGGGGTCATGAAATGACTGTGATCTCAGAATTTCCACAGAAAAAACCGGTGCCGAATTTCCGTGATGTTACAATTATAAACAAAGAAAGATTTTTTGAGGGTGAGTATATTTTTACCCGAGATTTTACACAAGATTTTGAGAAACTGGATGTGGCCCCGCCCTCTAATAAGTTTAATATACAAGTACATATCTACTAAGCCACTTAAGCTACAATAACCAAATTCGCGGAGCCCAGCCACGTCTTATAAGAACTTCTACCGGCTTGTGTGAAAATGGATGAACTCGGAGGATAACCCTACTCACTTCCCATATAACGGTAATGTTAAAAAATACTAAAAGCGTTAATAAGTAAACGCGACAGATACATAAGGTAGAACTTTATGGTTGAGAGAGCTTTATGAGGGCCGGTGTGAAAATTGGACGATGGCCGTGGCACCGCCCACTTTTTGTGAAATCCCATATGAAGGTACTCGTCCAAGTCGATTTCGACCTTTTTATATTCTTATATCCTATTGAAAAAATGGACGAAATCGGACAACAACAACGCCTATTTCCCATGTAACACAATTTCAGATACTACTTGATTCCTTCAGCTTCCAGTACACAAATCAAGAAGCGTTTAATATAACGCGATTAAACTTTGCACGAAAAATGTTTTTACTGTGTGCCACCTTATGACCAAAAATTGTCTAAGTCCAATTAAAACTGTTCAAGCGACTACATACCGAGAATTTCGATCCCGGTAGTTGACTTTTGATCGAAAATGCCGGTCAATGTGTGAAATATATAACGTAGATAATCCAATACTTCCCTTAGCCCCCAAATATTATACTTAATATACATATTTTCGAACTTCGGCGTGACTTTGTTATCCCAGTGTATCTTTGTACCTAATATATATGAATTGGACTTAGCCCATATATAACTAATATCAGGATTTTCGAAAATCCGGTTGACTTTACTCTATATGATTGGTTTTACAATCTACTTAAATAATTTTACTTTGATTCTTGCAAGACGCAAGAGTATAAAAAGTTCGGTGGCACCCGAACTTAGTTCTTGCTTATTTATTCCTTTCATTATTAATTATGTGCATATATTAAAATACTTATTATTTTATTTATTTTAAAGACTTCAAATTGGATGACTTTATGACCACAATCAGCAAATGGGAAGAGCTAAACTGGGGCATAGAATTCTTAACCGTACCCACGCGCAGGGTGTTAGAACACCCGGAAGTGCAGAAATGGCTGGCAAATGGCGTCACATTTGATTTACTCATTGTAGAAGTGCTGCAACAGGAGGCGCTGTACGCACTGTCATATCATTTTAATGCATCGCTCATCGGTGTATCGAGCTTTGGTACTGATATGCGCATCGACGAACTGGTGGGCAATACCTCACCACTCTCTTATGTGCCGTCAGTTTTAAGCACCAACAGTGATCATATGAGCTTTTACCAACGTCTGGAGAGTTTATATAAAAATATTGTCGAGTGGGTGCATAACCATTTTATTATGATACCTTTACAATATGAAATATATAAAACTTATGTGAGCAAACCCACAGCTGATTTTATGGCAATAAGAAAGAACTTCTCGCTGCTGCTGCTGAATCAACACTTCTCGATGAGCATACCACGTCCATACGTGACCAACGCCATCGAAGTGGGTGGCTGGCATATAGACCACAAACCGAAAGCTTTATCTGCCGATATGGAAGCTTTTATTAACGCTAACCCAAATGGTGCTATCTTTTTTTCTTTGGGTTCCAATTTTTTTAGCAAAAATTTGTCTAAAGAAAAACTTGCTATTATTTTGAATGTTTTTGCCTCATTACCCTATAATATATTTTGGAAGTTCGAACTACCGGAATTACTGGGAAAACCACAAAACGTCTACATTGATAAATGGTTTCCACAAGCCGATATATTGGCACATCCCAATGTAAAACTCTTCATTACACATGGTGGGCTATTGAGCACGATCGAGGCAATTCATTACGCAAAACCGTTAGTGGGTATACCGATATTCTACGACCAACATCTAAACGTGGCGCGTGCGCAAGCGAAAGGGTTCGGCTTAGGTGTGAACTTGAAGAATTTAAATGCCGGTGAATTAAATGATACCATACTGGAGGTTCTGAATAATCCCAAGTACGCCCAGCGCGCTCGCGATCTCTCTCACCGCTATCACGATCAGCCGTTGAAGCCGTTAGAGAAGGCAATCTATTGGACGGAATATGTGCTGCGTCATAAGGGCGCGCCGCATATGCGCGTGGCTGCACAAGATTTGAATTTCATTGAATATCATAACTTAGATGCGATTGCTGTGCTGTTCGGCCTACCGTTACTGGCATTGGTAATTATGGTGTGGGCAAGCTGCCGATTATTAAATTTGATAACTGAGAAATTGATTGATCAAGAGAGAAAAGTAAAGCAGAATTAATTCATTATGAAGAGTAGGGATGGAAATGGGATTACTGTAGCCAGAGAGTAAAAGCCAGTACAAGCTAACCCAATACTCACATAACTTAGAACTAGAGTTCTTCGAATGTTTGTAATCTTGAAAAGCTTAAGGAAAATTTGCATCTTTACGTAATCATAATATGTATGTGTCTTGAAGGTCAGTCACATAACTGTAAATTTTTACCACTTCCTAATAAATTGTATTATCTTTACTTTTAAAAACACTAAATCTTATTAAAATAAACCTTCAGGATTTTCAACAGCCAATTGCTTCTTTGATAGCATCTTGAGCTTTAATTTTGTGCGTTAAAGTATAGAGAACATTTACAGTTTCGCAGTGCGGATTAATCCAATGTATAAGTACTTGGTAGGAATTGTTTTTGGATCCAGGAGTTGTGTTTTTGGATGAATCAAATAGAAATAGAGATTTATTTCAACACATTAAATCAAAAACTTAGAATCCATCATTTTCAAATAAATATATAATATATCGTACTAATATATAGAATATATCTATGTATGTATTGCTATGTGTGTAAGGCCGAAAAAAGAAAAATACTTAAGTTTTTAAGTTTTAATTAATTTTGTGTAGTTGCTGAATATCAGCATTTTCTATGCCCAATTGACTTGAACTGAATAATAACCGTTAGTCGTTCAAGCGTGCTAATGAATTTTACGCTGCATATCTACTTGCCTCTTAAAATGCCTCAATAAAATGTGGCGTAATTTCGAGGAAAAAGAGTGTGCTGTTATTATGTGGCCAAGTACAACTGGGCAAATAAAACAAAATATCGATAAAGAAAATTACGACAAAGTAAATTGTAACAAATGCACAAAAGCGGTACCTTAGATCCGATTGCAACAGAAATTTATGGAAAATTCATCTCAAATCAAATCAACAAAATATATCACAAATATTATATAAAGTTTTTGAGTTTCTTCATATATCGGTTCAAACTTTTGAGAATCATAGTGCAAATTTGTAAGAACCTAAGTCGAAGATAAGAAAATATTGAGCAACACCATTAAAGAAGAAGAATTAACTCACAGTAAAATTTGAGCAACGCAAAATTTTTTTGTAATGCCTCCTTTGGCTGGCTTCGCAGGGATGCAAGTCGATGGTCAGAGTGCTTTTCGTGGTGGCTTTGGTTCTATATTTTGCTAGGTAAAATGGCCCACTAACTTATACCTTGGAGAAGGTATACTAAGTTTGACTCGATGTTTGCAACCGAAGTTTACATTTTTCCTTCCAGTTTGCCTTTATACATTCATCATCATCATTTCTCTAATATCTTATGCAGTTTTATCACAAAGCTTTCGGTTAGTCGCTGAATTTAGCCATTAATTACCAGCAGCCATGATTATATTTGAACCCAAAATATAGCTATATGTAAATACAACTTATGTCAGCTAAGTCTTTTCGCAACTACTAAAACTATATAGTAGATTATTATGCTTAAGTGCGTTTGGTTGATGAAAGGAATACATGTGTAAAGATATGTGCGTGAGAATTACATGATAAACAATAGAAATTGTGAGTCGGGAAGTTCTTTTCCATGAAATATATTAATTTAATCTCTCCATATGAGAGCGGTACGATAAATATTTAGCCTCACCACCCGATGGCACCATGAGTAGAGAATTCACTATCCTGTAGTATGTAAATAATTTTAGGAGGACAGTAGTTAGTGTTACAATAGGTAAAATATCAGTAATTTTGGTAATACTTATGAATTCGGTGGCTACTAGTATGGGATTAAGACCAGCAATAGCATAATTCGCCTAAGGTGTTTATTGCGCTTTCCGAGTATAAACAATTTCTATATATACAATACATATATTATATTTACAGTTTTGTTGTATTTTCTATTTATGATAACACACGCTATTCTTGCCAAATTTGTCATGAAAAAATAGGTTTTGAAGAAAATTAATGGCAAAGATAAGGCGGCATTGCCCCTTCGACTGTTTGTCAAAGCTAAAAAATTGCAAAACTTTATTTGAACATCCTATTATTATACATACTAACTGAAGTTTTAATTTGTTGGGGTTCTTTTAATAAGGTCTTATTTCTTATTTTAAATTATCTCACACGCAATCTCATCAATGTTTGTAAATACTCAACATTGTATAATAATAAAGCTTACATGCAAAGGCGGTTATAAAATATCACATGCAATGTCCACTTAATACCGAGCCAATATAATTAGTAGTATTATATAATATATATAGAGTATATACTAGACATGCAACGGATTATAATAGAACGCACAATGAAATCAGAAAAATTTAACCCGGGAGAGCGTACTTCAGGCACAATGGCTCCTAACATATAAAACAATGTTGGCAACCTGTTTTAAAATCTCTCATCTGCAACCTTTTTTAAATCCATTTAATTTTGAACCTTCTTATATCATGTTCATATCTTATTATCTTATACTATTGGATCCAAGTTGATCATCGATGATATATTTAAAATATCTTGATTTTACTAGAAATAAAAATATTGAAGGATCGATGAAAATCAAGCTGTTAAATGAACAAAGCTAATGGATGCAACTTAGGGTTAGCAGATGACATACATACATATGTCTGTGAGACAATAAGCAAGCGTTTATGATAAACAGCATTAGGATATACATATCATAGCGTGTTAGAAATTACCCTTCCTACAGTTTTCGGATTTGAAAATTACAATAAATAGGTAAATACTAATGATTATTAAATACATATATTTGTACAGAATCTGACTTCCTGGCTAAGATATTCTTATATATAATGCACAGTTGGTTGACTTCGTTTAGTCATCGTAATGCGGTCGGATTTATTGCAACGTAACGTGAGTAAGTTAATATAAAATAATTTAAAGATATGTATTAATTTTATCGAACAAAAATTCCAATCAAAAAAATTTTATTTTAAATATCATTAAATAAATGTAACATCAATGTGGAACAATGTATGTAAATATATAGGTTAATGGTTCGCAAATAAATTCCGTGATGGTTGCTCTAATAGATAGAACCAAAAACCAAACGATCTCTTTAAAGTATCTTCATTTTATTGTATTTTACAAACACGAAAAGTTTTTTTGGACATAATGAGGTTATGACTGCAACAAGCACTAGAAATCACAGTTACAAGTTACAAAAAAAAAAAAAAATTGGAAAAAGTTGCTAAGCCATTAAACGGCATTCGTAAATAAATATAAAATAGTCGCAATAAAATATAAAATTATTTAACAGTTTTTATACCGACAGACATTGGTGAAAGATGCTCACCCAATTTTTCTTCAGGTTGCTACTTTCGGCTTATATCAGCTTAAACGCCCTACAGCAGACAAATGCTGCCAACATTTTAGCGATATTTCCCTTTCCAGGACCATCGCAGTATATTTGTGTGCAAGCGTATTTGAAAGCTTTAGCGGCGCGCGGTCATGAAGTTACCGTGATTTCAGCTTTTCCACAGAAAAAACCGCTACAAAATTTTCGCGACATATCAATAGCGGAAGTACTAGATGGCTACGAAGGTACATATACATTTTTGGATAGATATTTTCCAAATTTACTAACATAACTGTATAACTATCGCTTTCAGAAACTATCGTGGATGTAATTAAAGAGGAACGCAATAAATGGCAAGAATTAAATCTGTATTATGACTTTTTTACCAGTGGCACTTTGTCGGTATTGAAAAGTCCAAAAGTTCAAGAATTATTGCATTCTAATGAGCATTTCGATCTCATAATTGTGGAAGCAATACAATTGGATGCGATTTATGCCTTGGCTCAACATTACAATGCCTTACTTATTGGCGTATCTACATACGGTACAGATCCGACAATCGACGAATTAGTGGGCAATACTTCACCCATATCGTATGTGCCGTTACCGCTCTCACAGTTGAGCGATCGCATGAATTTCTGGCAGCGTTTACAAAACTTGTGGCATCATTTGTTGCACCAAATACACATGCATATTTTTTACTTGCCCAACCAAGCTGCCATTTACAAGCAATACTTTCCCAATTCCACTGCCGATATATATGCGGTACGCAAGAATTTCTCATTAGTGCTCCTGAATCAACATTTTTCCATCAGTTTTCCACGCCCATATGTACCTAATGCAATCGAAGTGGCCGGTATGCATATAAGCCAACGTGCTGGCAAATTACCTACCGACATAGCAAACTTCATCAGAGATGCAAAGCAAGGCGCCATCTACTTCTCTCTGGGTTCGAATGTGAAGAGTAAAAATCTGTCGAAAGAGAAACTTGAGATACTTATGCGTGTTTTTGCTTCGCTACCCTACAATATACTTTGGAAATTCGAAGCTACCGAACTACCAAACAAACCGCCTAATGTATATATTAACAAATGGTTTGCCCAATCCGATATACTGGCGCAACCCAATGTGAAATTATTCATATCTCACGCTGGTTTGCTCAGCACAACCGAAGCGATTCATCATGCCAAGCCATTGATTGGCATGCCCGTCTTCTTCGACCAATTTCTCAATATGGAGCGTATTAAACGTGCCGGTATCGGCGTTTTCGTTGATTATAAATATTTCACTTATGATGAGTTGCGAAGTGCCATCGTTGAAGTTATGGAAAATCCAAAATATACGCAAACGATCCAGCATATGTCGCGGCGTTACCATGATCAGCCTATGAAGCCGTTGGACAAAGCAATCTTTTGGACGGAGTACGTGTTACGTCATGGGGGCGCGCCGCATATGCGTGTTGCCGCCCAAGAATTGAATTTTATACAGTACCATAGCTTGGATACATTATTGGTATTGGTTGGTGGCGCGATGTTGGTTTTATTAATACCTTCATGGTTTGTATATAGAAATGTGGGGCGATTGCTTTTGGGAGACCGTGGAAAGATCAAGCTAAAGCACAACTGAAATTTAAAATGTAAATTAAACTTAAAAATATAACCTCATTTTATGTTTTAGAGTGAAAATTTTAAAAGAGCTTATCATTCAGAAGCTTAGCTTTACTTTTAATATCAGTCGCTAGTCAATCTCGTATCGTAATATTTTTAGTCGGTATTCGTAGACGATTTACCCTACCTTTCAAGCGATCTAATCCTATAATCGGCGCATCATTGCCGAAACAAAAATTGCAAGAGATTATGAACGCATTTTCTTCATTGCCCGTGAACGTATTGTGGAAATTCGAGAACACAGATCTGGCGGGTAAACCAAAGAATGTCTTCATAAACAAATGGTTTCCACAACCGGACGTACTTGCCCATCCTAAAGTAAAACTGTTCGTTACACATGGTGGTATGCACAGCCTGATAGAAGCGGTACATCATGCTAAACCAGTTGTGGGCATACCAGTCTTCTACGATCAATATTTAAATGTTGAAAAGGCCGTACATAAAGGTTTCGGTGTTGCAATAAACTTCCGAAATTTCACTAGCACCGAACTGCGCGATGCTATCCTAGAGGTGTTGAACAATCCCAAGTACACCGAAAGAGCGCGAGAGATTTCTGCCAGTTTTCATGATCGACCTATGAATCCGCATGATACAGCAATTTACTGGACTGAGTAAGTGCTATGACATAAGGGTGAGAAAGAATTGCGTGTGGAAATTGAATTTCTTACAGCGCCATAGTGTGGACACAATGGCTATATTTATAGTCCGCGATGTTTTTAATGGACTGGCGGTAATATTTAGTAGCAACGATAATGCGCATAAGAATCGAAAAAGTGGTTAATAATTTCTTGGACAGACTTTTGAGATTTAGTGCTGTTATTATTTAGCACTAAAGTATAACTGTAACTGAACATTAATTGTTGTTTGGATAAGATCTAAGACGAAGCAACTCCATTGGTTAGATAGGTTTCAGAAATACGTCAAATTTTTGGGCTCTTTACTGTTCTACAGTTTAATACTAGTACTGTAGTTTTTATTTAGGTTTTTCATTATTTGAACATAAAATTGCAATATCATTCAGCTAAACGATACATAATTCAAATTGGGCGTTATCACTAGCCTTTCAAGCTGCTTTATTAGCTACATCATGCTCAAGTTATCTTTAGCTCTGGAAAACCCCGTCATATAGAGAATATCATCTCTACTATATATATTCATTGAAATTTTATTCAATTATTTACTATTTATAAAGAAAATTAAGCAGCGTTCTTACAAATTATTTATTAGCTATAGTTTAGAGAAAGAGTTTTTATTTAATTATTTATTTTTTGTTCTGCTTACTTTGTATCATAAATAAATATAATCTTTGGTAATAGTTAGTCCACAAATAGAAGTGTGTACATAGAGTAAACAGAAATATATTAGCAGTTGAATTTCATCATTATACTATCCGTCTGATAGGAGTAAAACTTAAATGACTTGCAATCTACTTAATCATAACAAACCATTTGCTCGCTCATTTTGAATAGTTATGTGAGAAGTACTTCGGGTTTTTGTTTGTAGATCTTGTATTTGCGTCGAAATTTACTATACTAAAATGTCGTGCATAAGCATGATTTGCAAAAGTCACAATTCAGTCGCTTCTTCGTCATTCCTACGTTTGCTTAATTTTATATCGGGTTTTCCAATAGCGATGATATGATTTCTAGGTGTCACTTCGGCCATTTTTAGTATGTCATGATTTGTGTTTTTTTTCAATGTATTCAATAACTTTTCAAAAGAAAATGCACAAATTTTTGATGGACAACCATTACATTCACCCGCATTGAGACTTTGGTGTGGTACTTTTTTTCGAATGAATTTTAAGAAATCATTACACGATTTTGTACGAAAGACTGATTTGTACGCGTTGGAAACGCCCAAGTTCAGAAAGACCAAGTTTAGATAATGGGTCTTTGTTCATTACGTGAGTAAATTATTTCTCTTTTTTGGTGAATTCGCAGCAAAAAATTTAATCTATTTGAGTTAGTCAAAAAGTGATTTGGTATATATAGAACTATAGCAGAGTATTAAAAGTTTTAATCTAGCGTTTTGAAATATATACCGCACATATACAATCCATTATTGTAAATCTCTGTATTGCTATGTTTGTCATGTGTGTTCGGCTCAAAAAAGAAAATTAATTAAGTTTTAATTAAGCTTGTACAGTTGCTGAATATCAGCGTATTATATACCCAATCAACTTGAACTCACCATTAGTCGTTCAAGCGTATATAATGAATTATATACTACATATCAACACTCATTTACCTCTAAAAAAGCAGGTCACCAATTGAAATTGACGCAATTTAGAGGCACAGAAGTGAGCAGTAATCATGTGGCAACAAACGAAAGAAAATAAAGATTGGCAAATAAAATAATGTAACGAAAGCGAAAATTTTATTAATCAAAGAGACATACTATTATCAGTCAACTAAAAGCCTTGAGGCCCCTTATTCCTAAGTCTTGTGTAAATTTAGTAGTATAGCTTTATTTGTTTGGCAGATATATGTATATATTCCACTTTTTAGGGGTAGTGCTACGCCTAATTTTCCAAAATTGTCAAACCGTTTAATGAGATTCGTTTTGGTGTTTTGTGAGCGTGGCAGTGATTCGATTACGCCAAACTACAATATCAAATTTCTTATAAACATTTTTGCCAAGTTCTTGATGAGACAGACAGATAGTCACCAGATTCCTACTCCTCTGGTCATCTTGATCGATTACATATATATATATATATACATATTAACCCTCAGGTGCACAAAACTATTATTCTCTCTGTAGCAATATGTTGCAAGAGCTTAAAAAGCTGTTCAATGACCGATATACTGGCGTATCCCAATGTAAAATTATTTATATCTCTCGATGGCTTGCTTTGCACAACGGAAGCGATTCATCATGCCAAGCTCTTTTAAGAGAGCTTATCATTTAAAAGCTCAACTTTGCTTTCAAAATCAATAATAATATATGAACTTGATGCTTTGTCGAGCTTTTTGCATTTGGTGGTGGGTGCCTAGGGTAACAAAGTCTACAGTTGTTAACTATTTATGCGATCATTTTTATCTCTATTGCTTCTCAAGAGCATTGAAGATACATTGATAAACACTTGAGTTTGGAAAAAATGCGGATGTGCTAGAAGTTGTGGCACGTATGTGAAACCATAACAGCGAAACTCTTTATAACAATGTTTTAACCCTCTTTGCTGTTTAGTTTTCTTTCGTGTACTTAGTCACAATAAATATTTGCCAACCTTATACGTTCATAATATATTTCGTGGATCAACTTACATGTTATGAAAATTAAAAATATTGTAATCAAGTGTTCTTCATTTGCTAATTTACAGTTATATCCCATGCATTGAATGGAATTGGTATCTTTACTTCATCCAAACGTAATTTCTTTGGCAGGACTTCCTTCTCTTCCGGTTCATATAATTTGAACTGATACATGAAGAAATCAGTTAAATACATACCCTCCTTTGTCATATAGTGAAAAGAGATCGCGTGTTTTGATAAACAATTTTGACACTGTAAAAAAAAATTATATATATAGATAATTATACATATATATTAGGAGTTTTAAAGAATGTAAGGGAAAAAACATTCCCCGAAAATTAAACTAAATTCTCTTACCACTCGCGGATGATAGATTTCATATGAGAAATACCAAAATGCGTCATCAAAATAGTTTCCAATTAAGAGAGTATGTGGTTCAAGAGGCATGAAACGCAGTTTATTGTATGCATCACGTGAGTCTCCAGGCAGCACACCCACAGAGCGTAAGCACATGCCGATTGCCCAGTCTTCGGCTATAAGCTTATCCTCAGGTGGACATAAATCACTATTTGGCATTGCTGCATTAACAAAACGATGCAGCGCTTCACGGCTTAAGACATATCCCGCACCGCCAGACATGTAGTGCTTCGAAAATATAAATTGAATACATAATTCCCATGTGTTAAGAAAGAACAAGGAGTTTTAGACCTAAAAATGCATCTACGCATCTACATTAGTAATTTTACTTACATTTTTTACTTGGTACGCATACTTAAAGTCGTGTCCAAAATAGATAGGCATATCCGGACTATATGCATAGAGTAAATAGCGCAAATTTTCTACGAACACATACCTATGTTGAATAAGTATATAACTTAATGCTTTATGAGTTTTTTGTTATAAACCTAATTGTCAATAATGTACTTTTTAGATTCTAAGTGATTCCTATCGAATTTAAAATAAAAGCGACTTAAAGAAAAAGAGCGAAAAATTGTCAACAGGCAGCTTATATTGGTCGGGCATATAATATGCCTACAGAGGCAAGCACAAATATATTTTGTAAACTATACAATGCGTGTAGTCTTGGGTTCGACAAACTGATGTAAGCAATTGTATGGAACTATAGTCTTTTTAAGCTTGAGAAAATCATAACATACCAACTGTTCAAATAATCCCACCATCTGAAGGTTTTTTGCTATGATAGATAAACAATTTAGAGACGCGCTTGGTGAACCAAGAGAAATGTCGCGTTGTAAATTATATAGCACTCGCGTCTTCTCTCCCATATTAAATTTGGTATGTCTCCCTTCAAGTTCTTGAAAGGTTTATTCTGCTTTGGAATCAATATTAGTTACAATATTAGTCATGAGATCAAAGCATGAGCTCTACCAAGCTCCATTTCAAATAATTGAGATCAGTTGGCTACTCTCACTCGACTTTTCAGCTTTGAGAATAAGCAAATTGGTGCCACACGATTTTTTATGTAATAAAGGCGATCACTACTCTTTTAAAATAACAATATGGGCTGAACTATGGAAATACCCTCTTTAGCATTCTTGAAGGCAGAGTTTAAGTCGTAGAACTGATGGTAAGTTAAGAGCAATGTGTCTATGTTCACTAAAAACTTACGTGTCATCATCTGCTTTCATAAACCAATCCATCTTATTAGCATATTTTTCATAAACATGCTTAAAAGCTCTTCTCGTTTTCACCCATAAAACATCGTGGGTATCAGTGAAATTTTGCAGAACAAATGTTTCATCCAATTCTGCAGTATACTCGGAGGTTACGAATATCAAACAATTACAACGCGTGCCCCAGGTTCGAAGCACGTCCATGGCCTTCGTCTTGTGATTAGCGGGGTTGGTCATTATCCAACAGAGGATGCGCACTTCATCTTCCAGTTGCTCAGCTAAGCTGTTTTCCGCTCCATGGACTATTTTTTTCACTGCTGATTCATTAATGTTTGGCTTCCTTCTGGTAAGCCAAGTAAACTCTTCCAAATTCACTACATAACTTTTATATTCCAAGTACATATAAACGATGGAGACTAACGCTAGTAGCAAGAATATGCGACGATACTGGAATACCCGAAGACGATCTGACATTTTAAAATTTTAACTGAATTGCATTTTCTAGGCGACATCTTTTGGTTGCAAATTAATCTTTAAGTTTCTTTTGCTACATTAATTATCTCCATTGGTTAATATGTTAGATAAGTTTGAAAGACTGATTTGCACTTATCTCTCTCCTCTCGAAAGCTTCAATATTTGTCAAGCAAGGAATTCTACATTAAATTGAAGAACTTGAAAAAAAGCAATTATAAGGGTATATATATTGTATATTAATTTGTACTAAGTGCATTTTTAAAGCCGTTTATACATTTTTTGATGTTTTGTTATTCCTACTCCCTCAATGGGTAACTCGGCGCTTGGAGATGTCATTACAATGTAAATTTAGCTATTTCTTATTTATAAATCTATAATATGTATTGATATATGTATGTAGTAAATTTTTTTTTGTATATATTCAAGTGACACACAAACTTAAAATCTAGCAACACAAAATCGTTATGATCATTGTTCCTATATGGTGCATTATTTCTATCATGCCGTTATCAGCAAACTTGGCGCAGTGTTTCCGTGTTATCTAAAATTACCAAAAGACCAATTGACAAACAATTTCATGTATATGCTTTGAAGATAACTTATTGAATGCCGTGGCATTGTATGAATGAAACCCATTTCTGACAAGGCCAACTGACATCTTAGTTCGAAGAAATTTTCGTATTGCTTTTGGAAACTAACCAATTAAGAAGCTAAAAATTAAAATGAGATACTGCCGACTAGAGGTGCTTCTGAAACTTTATGGAAGTGCGTAGATTAATAGTTAGTGTCAACTAAAAATTCTTATCGTAGTTGGATTTCATTATTATAATCTTGCAATTTATTGTTCATTACAAAATAGTTTTACGAGTTTTCGTATTATATTCAGCTTTCCTATTCCGGACGAAACACATCCATTTATAGTCGTCACAATTATATTACACTAACATTTAAACTATCTTGGTGGCTAAGCAATGCATTTTGTTTCGAATTCTATTTCTAACACAACCAGTACTTTGAACTTTCTTGGAGATAGCGATAAAGCGGTGAATTTACTAAGATATGCACTTTTTTAAATGAATGTTGATGATTAAAATGTTTGGAAAATGCAAGTACATATATACTATCACAGATTTTCATGTAAAACAATAAAACATTTTTATCATGCTGAAAATAACAAGCCAACCAACTAACAATTTAGTTAATGGCTCCGACAATGATCGCACCGAAAATACTTTGCAACGGCTTTAGTGCAATTTGAACCGCATAGCAAAATGTCAGAGCAAAGAGGGAACATAGCACAAATAGAACCAAAAAAAAGTCTACGTCTGTACCGTCGTCTCGCTTTTGTGACTATAGAAATTGCATTAATAGCAGCATTATTGAGTTATAGGCATAATATAACTAGCTTGGAGCAACTGAGTTGGGTACACGAAGAAAAAGTAAACGTTGAAATGTCAGAAAATACCACGCAAATTAATACCGATTTATCGGAGCTGTTATATAAAGAAGTACGTATACTTTGTTGGGTTATGACCACGCCGAAGAATCACAGAACCAGGGCAATACATATAAAGCGTACATGGGGAAAACATTGCAACCGGCTTCTGTTTGTCACCTCGGAATATGACAAAGAGTTAGGCGAGACTGTAGTTATTAGCGAAGTGGAAGATAAATACGACGTCTTATGGCCTAAAATGAGAATAGCATTCGAGCGAATATACGAAAATTACGCTAATGAGACAGATTGGTTCTTCAAGGCAGACGATGATGCGTAAGTAATCAACATTTCTTTTTATTGCGACGAACATGCAAACGTAAGTCACAAGTGAGTGAGTGAGACAAAAATAATTAACGTTTGTTTACTGTTCAATTCGTGAAGAAAAAATAAATTCTGGTGTAAAATATTTAAGTTGTCACTATGAAGTGTTCCAATGTTGTTTCTTAGTTTATAAATTTTGTAGATTTTGTCAAAAATTCGTTCTCAATGCGTGATCTTACCTTTGATCGTTAGTTTAAGCTTTTGTCATATTAAGCTACTACAATTTAGTATGCTAATAGCATTACACTATTTTATAGGCCTCTCTTTTCTTTCTGTTCTTATTTACAGTTATGCCTTCATTGAAAATATGCGCTATTTTTTATATGCGTACAGCCCGGAAATGCCGATTTACTTTGGATATAAATTATTATATGGCGGGCGAAAGGACGAGGTAAGTTAGAGATAAAGCTAAGTAGGAAACATTTACATGACTTTTGTTATAACTTTTAAGGTTAATATTAAATTTATGGTTTGAAATCAAATATTTAAAAAAGCTTGATCTACTTTCAACATTTTACACTTCTTCATACCACACAAGCCTACAACTATGCTTTAATTGTCGGTGCGAAAAAAATTGCCAGAGCAATAGTTGACCGGTAACCTTATCATAATTCCTTCTATAAACACGGTGTCTATATCATTTTATCTAAACCCCAAAGTAGTCATCAGTCTTACTGACTACTTCTTTATTGCCGTGCTAGCATTATCCAGAATTCTGAGAAGATGTTAAAAGCCAGATGGGTGCCAGATCTGGGTCTACTCGGATTGTTGTCGATTGAATGTGAATTGGCCATTCGTTGCGACGTATCGATTTCAAAGGTGGCATGGAGTCATCAATTGCTGTTTTTGCTCGATTGTGTCATTCAGTATCCTATTATTCTTCGTCCGTTTTGTTTGAATGTGCATAGGCTTCAATTATAAACGGCGGTTTTTCATAGAAACGGAATAAGCATTTCAGTCTGCCTGATTGCGGACTATATCAAAATTTGACGGAGTTGTTTTGTAATAATTTTTAGTTTTCTAACGCTGATCTAGATGAAGTTGATAGGCTTGCAATCTTATTTTATGTAAAATGCTTTATTAACTTTCTTCGTATATTGAACGTATTCATTTAATTTAAGGTTTATATGTCTGGTGGTAGCGGCTTTGTTTCAAGTCGGGAAGCCGTGCGACTTTTCGTCGAATTGGCCATTGTTAATAAAAGTGGCTGCGATATTAATAATCACTATAATCCTGATGATGTCGCTATAGGTGAATGCTTTCGTGCTGTGGATGTGATTGCTGGCGATTCGCGCGATGTGCATGGCGAAGCACGCTTTTATTTATTCGCGCCGTTTATGGTACTTATGCCTGAGGTGATAAATAAACCATTTTGGTATTTCAATTATAGCTTCTATAATCCACGTTCGGTAAGACAGCTTGACTCATTTATAGTATGTGATTTTATATTTTTTAATGTTTTTAAAACGCGAGTTTTTTTTTCTTTTTTCAGTGCAAAGATTGCCTTGCAAAATATCCAATGGCCTTTCATTATATGACTCCAGCAGACATGTATCTTTCTGAATTTTTTGGCTATGAATTTTGGACGATAGACTTACCGGATGAACCGGAGGAGGTTTTACCTAAGAAACTAAGTTGGGATGAAGTAGTCGTGCTGGAAACTGATAATATTTGGAATACTCCATAATTAAATTGTATAGTTGAACAATCACAAGTTTTCAAATGTTATTTAAGGGTAAATGGATGAAACACCGTGTCGCTTAGTACAAATACTGGCAGCTCATTGTTGGATGTATTGAAGGTTTTTCGCCGTGGAATGACATACAAATATTTAGAGTTGAGTATGAGGATATATTTGCAACAATTTCTGTTAGTTTAACATCTAAATATGCAGCAAACTCCCTAACATATATACGCTTCTTCGTACTTGCTTGAAGCTTATAGACAATTTTAAATTTTCTTGTTACTTTGGATACATTTGGATTTCAATTTGAGCCGTTAGCGTGGTCTTAACTCATAACATTAACTATTTTCCTTATTACGACCATTTATAAAGGTGATTTCCCACTTATATGACTGTGCGTTTGTGCTTTTCAGTGTTTGATCGCCAAAAAGCATACAAAAATTTTGGTGGTGTATCTTTCCCGTTACTTAGTGCCTTTCATAAATGTATTTATAATTTCTCTTTCTTACTTCTTTACTTTTTATTTGCATTTGATAAGCTTTCATATTTCTCCTAGCATACCTGCAATTGTTTTTAAAGCCAGTTCACGATGCGCTTGCAACTTTGCGTTTGCATAGCTGCTGCCAGTGCATATTGCTGTCTTCTTACAACTTCTTACCTCCATGAATATTTACATTATTCGTGCAGCGTTACGAAAGTGCATTCTGCTTGCACTTTTACAAGTATTTCTAAAATGGGTAGTGAATATTTTATGATTGGAAATAACTGAAACAAAAGCATTTTTTACATGCAGCTTCGGCGCATGTGGCAAAAAGCATAAACGAAATGGCTGAAAAAAAAAAATTGAAAAAGTTTTCTGCAAACTTTTCGCCGCTGCCGGTCATGCTGTTTATGCGCGCGCAGCTGAGTTTTCACTCCGGAACGAGTGCTGAGTTAACGGTAAAAATAATAAAAACAACAAACACAACGAAGTTTCACCTTAAAAACGACATAACAATTGAGTAAAAATGCCTCGAACGCCGATGCTTGCGCTGGCGCTTCTTACAATTTATTTTTGGCTCGTTCAGCTCATTACTTGAGGTGCCCAGATCCTACTGGCGTTCTATTTATCTCGTTGTGCTTGTCCGGGGCTCTATCGCAAACACTATTTCGCTTACTTTGTTGCTCGTAATTGCGTTGCGAGAGTTATACGCTGTTCGTTAGCTCTCGTTAGTTTCAAGCTATACTTAAATCTCTCCGTTTAATTTTGTGTGTGTTATTTTTTCTTTCATTCCTTCTTTTCTTCGTTGCTAGTTGGATTTACTTGATTTTTATAGCTTTCTGTTGTATAGAAAATTGGTGAAACTTTATTTATAAAGACTTTCAGCCGAAGACTAGATTTGCAATTTTAAGTAGGAGCTTTGGAGCATTAAACGAAATCAGATAAATTATTTTTCAGAAAATTTTATAAATTACCTTGTCGCTTAGATTCAGTATTTTCTTGATGCGATTGTGGAGAAAACCTTGAACATAGGAATTTGGTCTATATAAAAAAAGCAGTTCGCTTGTTAAAACTGGCTCGAAAAGCATGCAGGTATATGTATTTATGGCAAAGGAATATTGTACCAAAAATGTATGCTTTACCTCACCGTTGAAAATGGCAAGCGAAGCCAGGTCCTTCTCCACCTGATCTCTCCAACGGAGTGGAGGTCTTCCTCTATGCAGACAGGCATATAACTTAGTCTACGAAATAGGGGAAATTAATAATATTCTTATTTTATATTCTACTCCGTCGTACTGAATGTGATTGTATATATTCAAAAAATTAAAGTAAGTATCTTCATTGTGAACCCATTACATACTTCTTTCATTTAATTAACACAAGTGAAACTAGCGCACTCTATCTTTCCAAATTGTAATAAGTTTATTACAAAAGCCCTGCTTAGTTTGCATTATAAAAACCAATCACTAAGTAGACGAAGAAAAAGTACTAGGTTAGTCAATGGAGTTTTTGGAATGCTGTAACGCTCATAAAGCCAACTCCAGCTGAGTATGCTAAAAATTATTTGCTACTTTTTAATTAGTGCCAAAAGTCAGTTATTAAGGCATTTAAAGTGGAGAGTTAATGGAAATGCCTTCATCTTTTTGAGGTTAAATATGCACTTAGCCTTGCATAACTCACACGCAGGCGCTCACACAGGCACTTGAACAATGCTTTTTTGGCTCTTTGCGTGTGAATGTGTGCCTTTTTCAACAGAAAGATTTGTTGGAGTGCGCCTAAATGTATGCATATACATACACAAACTTACACTCTACTATATAATTATATACAAACAGATAAGGGCGGCAGTTCACTACAGTATTCCTGAAAGCGCATGTAGGTGTGAGCGATTGTGGAGAATGTATGGTTCAATGGAAGCATACTTTTTGGCAGCATTCCATATTGCCATTTTAATGCAAATTTAGGCAAGCATGCAAGCTGCATGAAAAAAAAAAAACACAACGGAACATCCGCATCTTTGTACGTGTGTATGCACACGCAGGAAGTAATAAAATTACATTTGAAGCTTAAAAGGCAAATCTATGTTGGCAAATATATTTGTGTGCTCAAGACTAGCTAGCTACTATATGAAATAGAGACATACATATGTATAGTAAGCGCACACACCCATGTCAATGCTTGCCAATGTGATTAGTAAGTAACTGTAATGTTCTCGCATACTTGCCAAAAAATGTGAAATTTACAACAACAAGTATGGTAATACATAGTAGCAAGCCAGGATTTGGGCTGGTCCGAAGAAATTTTTCAATTATTTATGTCTGATAACGAACTTCCGCAAGGCCTGTCGCCTACATGCTGTGTGCCACAAATACATCTAAGAGTCTGTCATATATACATATAACGAATTATGGCCAAAAGCCATGATAGCTACGTACATATGTCACATAAAGAGAAAGGAACCAAATAAGATAACTGAAATTCTTTGGATAGGGGGTGAGGCAGCTTGTTAAGTAGAATGCCGAAATAATTTTAACTGGAAATTTTTATTCGTTTATTAGTTGACAATTTGGTTAGTGACATGACTAAGGCGGCACAGGAAATTGGCTTGTAAGCTCGTCTGATATTTCCTGCACCTCTTCAGTCTCTGTATACAGATCTCAAATACATCTCAAATGCACTGTTATAGGCACATAATTATTTGCTGTGTCCACAAGGACTGTTAGCCGCTGTATAGATATGCATATAGAGTTTTTCTTCAATTTGTGATGTGAACATTTTGTTGGGTTTGCCACATATACACATTTGATATTTGGGGCTATAATCACTAACACACGCACCAGTAACTATTGCGAAAAGCTTTTGTGTACACTTAATAAATGTGTACTTGTAGAGAAAATTGAAGGTTCGCATGCGGACAAGTGCATTTAAAATCGAAATTGTTTTGCATACAAATGCACATTGCCAGTGAAATATGAAAAAATAAAAATTCTTTTCACATACCTACTAGATATTAGTTTACGCTTCTGCTACTTTGTGTACGGCTAATACGTACATTTATATGCAAATAGAGCCGTAGAAATTTCATTAAAATTACCTCTCTGTTGGAAATGATTTTATGCTGCAAAAAATATCTATAATGATTTAATCTTGCTTTGCTCTACGATATTTCTCCATTTTATGAACCTAACGATGTTTTCTATGAAGACATGGCTCCCTTAGTTTACATTATGCCGGGGTCAATGACCTCTTTGTTTAGATTTTCGGGGACAAATGAACAACCTTTGATCCGTTGTTTACGTTTTAATTGGCCAATGATCGTTATATTTATATTTTAACACTGTTTGCCTTTAGCCAAGCGACTTAGGGGTATTTTTTGTAAATTTAATTACATATTTTATTGGAAAATGAAAGTACGTTTTTCGGAACTTATGGGGCTGTTTTCATTCGATCAGCTTTTCTAATTGTACAAACCACATAACTCTTTTAATAAATATAGCATACGAAATTAAATTTCGTCGCTAAAGTTTAAAGTGGAGACCATATACGAGGCTAAGACGAACCACCTCTACAGACATAATAAAAGAAGCGAAATCATTACTTCTTAAATCGATATTTAACCGTACATATATATAAATTACATGCATTTGGATTCTAGTCAGGTTCAAAGTTGCCACAATGAAAACTTGAATAAAGAAAATCGCTTTAAGTAAAAACTCGAGGAGGGAAACTTCACAATCTGATTGTAGTCAATGCACAAACTTCACAATTCAATGCAGCACAAATCCGAAATTTCAACAAAACGGCACACATATGCACAGCAGGACGCACACAAATAGATATTGATGCAGCACGTTGCTTTTGTATTGGTGGATTTGCTGAAGACGTCTCGGCAACCAAGAAACTTCTTTCTCCGCCACTTACTTTTAGTTGCACGAATAACTCGTTCAACGCTGATTGCAGTTTATTATTGTGGTATTGTTTGGCAACAAGCGCATACACATGCAGCACATACGCTCAAGCGATAGCTAAAACCATTCGATGCCTCCTCTTGCGCTGGTCAACGCAAATGCTTTGTGCTGTCATTGCATTGAGTGTTGCAATCAGATGTGAATTTAAACTCGCTCACATATCCACTCCCACAAATACATTTATAACTGCATACATTTTCATCTTGCGGCGAAAGAAAATCGCTAAAGTAAACTGCTGAGAATAGTCCGACAGCGGAGTGAGGAGAAAAGTTTGCGGCATTAACATCGAAGCTCTGGCAAAAGTAAATATTATTGAAGTATCACATTCGCCACAGCTCTAGCTTCCCCCCCGTATAAACTTATATGTTAGATATGTATGTATATACATATGAGAAGACACTGGCGCATAAAAACACATTATATGGGGGCTTACTCTTACGTCACTGTTTTCTTCTTCTGTATTTGCGCAGCCACCGCTTAAGCGGTTATAGCCAAGTTTACAATAGCGCGCCAAACGTTCTTTCCTCTCGCTGTTTGGCGCCAATTTGAGATTCCAAGTGCATCCAGGTCTTCACCCACAT